TATCGGAGGCACTTGGGGAAACCCTTGGGCCTTTCAGTCAAGTTTGCTGTCCACCTAAAATTCTCTGAAAACAAAAAAAAATCTACAAAATTGGAGAAGATAGCCTAGTTTGGGATTTAATAAAAACTGTTATGATGGTATTGTTGATGATAAAGAAACCTTTCCAAGTCTCTCAAGTATTAAAATTTTTCTTTTAAATGTTTACTTTGTCTCTACAGGCACTGCTTTCTTATTTAGTGACATACATACATACATGGATACATACATACATACATACATACATATATACATACATACATACACACTCACAAGCATACATATATGAAAGAAGTCATTTAAGAATTCAGCATTATCATGTCTAGGGACTATGGGGGCATGCAGTCTTTGTATGTTTTGGAGGTCAGTACCTACTAAGATTGTTATTTTCCAGATAAATTGCTTCTCACACCAATCCATCTTGTGTTGGAAGTTGGCAGAGAGATATCTTTACTTGAAATAAATATTAAACTAAACATTTTCTTTTAATTCCAGAAATTCCTATTTTACCCTGAAAGCCATGCCAAGTGCAAGTGACCTCAGGGCAAACCCTGGCTAAGGATCAAGTACCATCTTGTTATTTCCTACAGATTTTTCCCACTAAAAAATGCTCATCTTTGCCAGCAAGTTCCAATGTATGGAAGAGGAAAATTAGGATTTATGTTCAACTGATTTATAATTGAAGGAGAATCATATTGCAAATTCCCTTTTGGATCAGTTCCCATTTTGTTAGGCAAACACAGATGAGCTGTCACTAACACACATTCAGGAAGTGATTTGATCTGTTTTGTGTCTATAAATCGAAGGTATTATATTCTCTAAATTTAAATGAAATTGTACATTATTCTATGTAATAAGCTACCTAATATAACCAATTTTGAGCCTGGAACCTCTCTTACCAATTGTCTGTGCAATGAAAAATAAGACATCTCTTTTATATTTGCCTGATTAAGGCAAAACATTCTTGTAAACATAACAAGCAAAAAAAAGTATGAGCTTTAAAATTCCCTTGGCAATACAAATTGAAGCTATATCTTGTTCATTAAACATGATATCACATTGCAATGTTAGTTGCATGGGTGTAGAAATGCATTTCTTTTTAAGTGTTGATACCATGCACCTCAGAAAACTTCTTAAATCACTGTTTTACAGAAGAGCCAAGTAATCAACAATTTCATAATTATTAGAGAAAAATCCACATTGGGTTCTAAAACACTTGGATATCAATAGATGACCTCAACCACAGCAGACTTTTGCTTATTTCCTGATTCTGTTTTTTACACTTACAGGCATTAGTATTTATTATCTTTTGTATTTTATATGCACACCTTTTAGTGTATATGTTCAATCACTGGAAAATGAAAAACCAAATGCTTAGGAAGAAAGACCCTTAGCTGAATTCTTCTGGGCATTGATTACATCAGCATCTCCATTGGTAAAGACAAAACAAATTATAAAATGAAATCAATATACTAAAGGAGCCCTCCTGTAAAAATAACCAGTGAGCCAATTGGCTTCAAAACTACATCCTCAAGAAGACTTTTAACATCTCTCTCTGTGTGACTTCTTCAGCATGTCACCAGTGCTGAGAAGTGCCCCTCCTCTTTGCCATCAGGACTGTTGATCATTGGCTCACTCTGCCACTATGTTTTGCATGTAACAAGGTCACCATTTCTTTTTCTTTCAACATAAAATCTCTACTGTGTTTATCACTGTTTTATTTACATTAAATACCAAGACAGGGTAGAATCATTAAAAGGTCAGATATAGAAAACATTCAAGACTTTTCTTTTGGGGATTTCCCCATTAGCCTGTACTTTTAATTTTAATGAAATGTCATCCCTGGAACCAGTAGGTGAAAAGACTGCAGTCCCATAGGTAATGTGCCAGAAGCTTTGCTTACTTGCCTTGAACTCATTCTTCTAACCTTGACTCTACCCTTGACCTCTCTGTGGGTTAATCTTGGTGCAGGGCCAAAGCCTTCATGGGAAATGTTAGGGCTGCAGCCCTCTCTACAGTTTTGCAGCTGTCATTGTGGCTATCTTTGGAATATCACATAGCTACGAACAAGGTGTTCCTATTGATCTCACTGGTCTATCTGGGGATTCTGATGCATCCTCAGGAAAATAAAACAGTCTGTTTTGGGCCAGATGTTTGACAAGCTCTGATCAGTGTATTCTGACATGGTAGCCTTGGTGCTTGGCTTGTTAGATCCCTGGGATCTACTAAAGTAGATGGAGACAGCAAAACCTTAATATTCTCCTGTGGAAGCTGTGAGGAGCTTCGTTCATGATGGTTCCTACAATCCTCAATCGATATTATCCTGCTGGAGTTAGTGTGACAATGAAAAGGAGCCGTCATTACTGTTTACCATGTTAAATATATCACTGTTTAATTTATTTTAAATACTGAAAAATAGGCTAAGGTAGGTGTGTGTGTGTGTGTGTGTGTGTGTGTGTGTGTGTGTGTGTAAATTATAAATATTACTTCCTCCCCACCTTCGGTTTTTAAAATGTGGTTTCACATTTCATTTAATGCTAAATGGTTCATTGCATAGAGTTGCAACTCAGTTCTCTTATTACAGTGTTATCTTTCACTTTGTCAAAATATGTCTACTTGATAAGAAATCTGACAGAAGTTGCTTATGATGGGATCACTAACAGCCATCAGTTTCTCTCTAGCAAATGAAACTGTAACCATGGTGACGGCCTTTTTTTTTTGCCAGAATGAAAATGAGACAGCACTCTGCTGCAGCCATTAGCAGAATACACAAATGTCCCTCAAGGCAAACATCTAAAGCAAATGGACTGCAAAGGAAGGAGCACTAATTTCTATTTATTTAGGATTTGTAAACCTAGCAGAGCAAGATATTAACAAAGGAACAAACAAAGACAGCTTTAAAACTCCCTGCTGCTTGCGTTTTCCTTTTGGTTTGTGAAACTCCTTGTTTCAAACCTAGAGTCCTTCAGTCTGCTTCTCCTACTCTGGTGCTGAATAATACCAACAATGTGCCTTTGATGCCACCCCTGGATATTTTGTGGGCTTTCATTCCCCCCTTGCATGAAGAGGGGAAGGGAACTTAATCAAGTAGAAAAAGTTCTCTAAATGATAAGGAGTTTCTCTTCTCTTTTTTTAAAGGTGCATTTTAAGGCAAACTATCAAAAAGTGAAATACAAGATGTCCTTTTTCATATACTTTAATTTTCAAAGAGGCATGTTCATTCTGATAAGGTGCATAGAAGCTGATAATAAGTCTATTCTAACGCTATCAGCAATCAGCCACAGACTGTCAGACCTTTCAAGTGTCACAGTCCTCTCACTGTCTTTTTATTCACCATTAGCCCATCTCACTCGAAACTCCACAGGGCACACAGATATTCTCCTGACAGGCCCAGGGTCGGTGAAGACGCTGCAGCCATCTGCAAGACCAGAATACCCTTTTTGGCTCTCTACCATCTAAAACAAAATATTACCTTAAAACAATGTTTAGTCTCTCTCTTGTTCTCTTCCTTAAGTTGTCTCTCCTCTTCAGCATTCTTGCCTTCTTTCCTCCTGAAATTATTTTAATGATAGACCAAAATTAGTGTTTTTCAATATTCAACTTAGTAAGCTTACTGATTCTGCTAAAATATTTTTACAATTTTAAAATCCTGCTTTGATCTACAGAACAATGCATGTTTTACAGAGTGGGAAAAGCTTCACAAAGGCCCGTTTGTGTAGATATTAGTCCAGAATCCCTGCTGCCACCCCAAGAGGGAACAAAGTACTAAGATCATAGGAAGCCATTTCTATCAGGTTCTCAGTGGCAATCAGAGGCAGCAGGGACTGAGATGGTGCAGTTGAAATTTGTATCCGCAGTTATGTAATTCACTTATGGAATTCACCTGGAGAATTGTCCTTCATCAACAGCAGTGTAGATTCTCATGAACCCATTCTTGGAACACCTAGTCCTTTGTGTTCAAGTTGTTAAAGCAGGTCTTGCCTGTAAATAGCTTGTCATGCTGAATTTGAGTATTTTCCTCAAGTCACTGTGAATTGAAGTTGAGATGTTCTAGACATACTTCTGGACATTCTGTAGACTCCAACATATGAAAGATGGTATGGTTTCTATAATATATAAATAGCTATGGTACCATAATAACTTCAGTTAGTATTTCTTAGGAGTTTTGCAGATGTCGGACATTGTGCTGTGGGAGAGGAACATTTAGGAACCTAGCGCAATTATCCAGAAGATGAATAATACTTGAGTAATGACAATAGGGACAGAAAAGACCAGCTGGAAGCTAGACATATCTAAAGAGTAAGAATAAAGAATCATTAAAAATAAGGGAGCAGAAAAATCAGATATGTTTGTTTTTTTCTGAATTAAACCTAAATTGCAATTAGTGACCTAGCTTTTGCTTTAGACATGCCCACATGGTGATCTGTCACCAAACATAGGCCTGCAATTCTGCCATGTAAGGATTTGTCTGCAGACACAGGCCTGCACAGGCAACATCCTGATCAGAGTGTTAGATCAACTCCTTGAGAATGTAGGTCTAGTTTAAACCAACTCATGGAAAAAAATAAAATTCCCAGTAATTCTTTGTGCCCCTTATTGTTAATGCGGGCATTAAAATTCCTGGCTGCTCATTTGAACCCACTGATATATAAAGTCTGTGTCTGATAGGACAAAGCTGTCTGGTGAAGATGAAAGACAGGAGGCCTTGTAGGCTGTTCTTCAAGTGTTCATGTTGCATCAGGGCACTTTTGAAGTGTTGTTGTAATAGGTGGCCTTGTAAGAAAGGTGGATAAGCCGGGAGTTGGTGTCGCATGCCTTTAATCCCAGCACTTGGGAGGCAGAGGCAGGCGGATCTCTGTGAGTTCAAGGCCAGCCTGGTCTACAAGAGCTAGTTCCAGGACAGCCTCCAAAGCAACAGAGAAACCCTGTCTCAAAAAAACCAAAAAAAAAAAAGAAAGGTGGATAAACATTAAAATGATTCAACCCATTCCAAAGTTCTTAAAGAATGTGATGTACTTTCTGAGAACGATCTAGTCCTTGGCTTCAGTGTGGGAAATTTCTAGAAGACCTCTCCTTGGAGGTTTTTCCTCCCAAGAGCCAACTTATGTGAAATTTTAAGTCAGCAACATTGTTTCAACCACACACCAATTTGCCCTTTATGTTACTTGCCCAGATTTTTGGCAACTCTGCCTGCTGGAACTACTTTCTTTAGACAGAACCTGAAGGTCATTTTACACATAAGTGTAACCGTTATACCTTATAGCACTCATTTAACTTATAACATTTATAGCTTACAGCATCAATAGAAATGATTTATTTTCTTTAAAAAACAAAAGAGTAACTACTAGGAGGAAGAAATAAAGATCTGAAGATGTTTCTGTATGTCCCACCATTAAAATATTTAAGACACAATCAATAAGTCAGTATCCCTAAAGAACTGTCTGTTTTTCCAAAACACAATACAGAGCTGACAATGTACATGCTGGAACTTCTCAGCCAAGCCAGATGCGTACAGAGAAGATAAACAGAAGCAGCAAATGTCTCAATGTATGCACTCGGTGAGCACTTGCTGATTTCTACTGTACCAAATTGACTAGCCATGCAAAAAATAGGATTAGCCGTCTAATTAGGAATTCAAGCATTTTTAAAATATCATTAAGACTGCCTTACAAGGAAGTTATTAATAAAATGAGTCATTAAATTCAAAATAGACAGTAGTTAAGTTGGAGACTTCCTTGTTCATAAAATCACATTTAACTCATTTAAAAGTGACACCAAGCTTGAAGATTCCAACATAAATTAGGGCTACTAAAGAAATGCCTAACACCCATGAAAATCTGAGCCAGGAGAGTGTTATTTTAAGCTGGTATTTATCCAAGGGGTACAGTTTTATAGGAAGCACATGAGAAACATGAGTGAGTTTCGATGCATATCATATTTATTAAAATATTTGTAGCATTCTCATGTTTTTCTTGGCAGCTTAAAAATTCATCCATCAAACCAATGAAGTTATAGTACTAAATCAATGCATGTTTAGTTTATTTAGTTTTATTAGTTTATTAGTTTATTAGTTTATTTTCTAATAGTGAATATTCTCTGTCAACAAATTATAATTCTTTATCATTTTTAACTATTTTTCTTTAATCCTAAAAGACTTACAACCTTTACCTCTGCATATTGTTTCACTAGTTGCAAATAGGCAGACAATGAGAATTTTAATGATCTCAATGAAGACAATGTGAGCCAAGATTTTTCAGGAAGCTTATGAGGCAGACCTTGGAGGCTTATGTTCTCCCTCTTTCTGACAGGTGTGAATCTTCTGAGTCACAAGGAAGATTAGAAATGTCTATATTTGTGGTGAAGTTCCAACCTCATCTTTCTACTTCCCACTACCATAGCTACAAGATTGCAACCAAGACTCCTCACTGGAGTTAATTTATATTTATTCCAGCCTATATTGGGCTTTGGTACTACCAAACATGAATTGTCTCAGCTGTGGAAGGATGGTCTCTACCCTTCAGCACTACTCATTTTAATGACTGAGGCTGAACAACATGCTCTTTAGAACTTTTCATAATCCTGTCACAGTGTCATTCAAAATGAATTCAAATTACACACAAAATATTTTATTTGGATTTAGAATTAATACAGTATGTCCTTATAATTTTAAAGACTCGTCGAGGATGCCATTGGTTTGAATCCATGAAATGCTTTAAATAGTAACAGAGGTCCCAGATGTGTGTATTTTGCTGATCCTCCTGTATATTTAGACACTTAGCATGAGAGGGCTTGACAGATGAAAATTAGATTGTTAAAATGTTCTTTTTCACTATAACAGGATTCAGTGTCAACTTGAGGCCACTATGCAGTTACCTATGTGAGCATGTTGCCCATCACAGGAATCCCAGTCAAGTCATCCTCTTCTATATGTTTCGTGCAACCTTGAAATAATTTTAAAAACAATGCAACAAACTGCAACTCTATTTGATCTGCTTCAGGCATTCTGAAGAAATTTGCTCTAGTGAAGAAGAAAAGTAATAAAAACAACTTTTGTCCATCAATATTCTTACCTGATAGCTATTCCTTGAGTGTTTTCTAGAGTATGCCATGACTATAACAATATAGGTAGCATATAATAAAAAGTATATATACATATCTCTGTATTTTCTTTAAACTGGTGCTTCTTGTGGGGAGTGGAAGAAAACCTGTGTAATGAGCTGATGAAATACTAAATGAATGAATGCTGTTGACATGAGCACAGGCACACAGAGGATGTCAATGCTCACAGCTATGGGAATGGCAAAGCCTTCCCTTGGTCTGTGTGTAGATGTTGACAGTATGCAGAAATGTTAACTGCAGCTTTCTCTTTCCAGATGTTACAGCCCAAGACTACACCTCCACAGAAGACCCTTCCTGAGATTTCCTTGTTCAGCTGTATATAATGAGCCTGACTCCTCATCCAGTTATATAAAATAACACCGTCTCTCCATTTAGCTATATACAAGAAGCCTGCCTCCTCAATTCAAATAAATAAAAAAACTTACCAAGTTTCTAGGTTGTTGATTGTATGTCTCTATCTCTCTATCACAGCATGAAGCCCATCTGATTCCAACTTTTCTGTATGTGTCTCCGAAATTTCTTCATTTCTGGTCACCCCAGTTAGGTCAGCCCTAAAGTTGTGCAGGTTGTGTCAATCTCTAAAAGGTAAGTGTTTTAATATCTAGATATGTGGGGCCAATAATTTGTTTCATGGACTTAAATTGTGAATATATATGATATATAATAGATAACAATATAAAATTTATACCACATAGAAATATATACTTATACAACACAATATATATGAATGCATATATAATTCCAATTTACCAAAAGCATTTCTAAAATATTAGTAACAAATGAATCAATAAATAATGAATGTACTTGCTTTAGAATTTAATGCATTAGTTTGTTATGGTAATAACCAGCCACTCTGTTATGGGATTTAAGGTCTACTTTACAAGTAGAAACTCATGTCTATTATTGTAAGTCTGGCCAAGAACTTGTGACTGAAAAACTCATAATAGGGTTAAACCACCTATTATTGTTTTTCTATGTGGAAATAGAGACAAACTGCCTTCTAAATAAAAGACTTATTTATGTTTATTTTATGCTCATTGTTTGCTGGTCTTTGTGTATGTCTGTATGAAGGTGTCGGATTCCTTTGGAACTGGAGTTATAGACTGTTGTGAGCTGCCTTGTGGGTACTGGGAACTGAGGTAGGGTCTTCTTGAAGGGCAACAAGCACTCTTAACCACTAAGCAGTCTCTCCAGCCCCCTAAAAAAAGCATCTTCATATCCATACACTCTTGTAGCTCTACCCTAATTAGGAAAGCATTTTTTGGTGCAGTGGACAGCAGTTAAAACAGTGACTAGTAACTGGTCAAAGTGCAGAGAATAAATGTGTATTCAGTGTTCACTCATAAATGAGACATCTGTATAATAAATACTCCTCCCCTTAAGGATCAAGGAACATTTTAAAACAGTGAGATTGTTGTATTTGGAGACCAGAAAGAATGAAGACAAATTAATGTCTCTCCAACAGGATAGACTGTTGCAGTCATGAATTCACCAGCAGCTGTGGTCACCTGCAAAAGACATACACAAGATCAGTCCAGTCAACACTCCAATATATATGAACAACAGGGACCTCTTGGTCCCATTACTGATAGCTGGGATACCAGCATGGGACTGATCCAGACCCCAGTAATGTGGGTTTCAGTAAGGAGACCTAGGAAATCTACTGGACCTCCTGTAGTAGTTCAGTATTTATCCCTAGCATAGGTGTAGACTTTGGAAGCCCAATCCACATAGAGGGATACTCCCTGAGCCAAGACACATAGGGGAGGGCCTAGTCCCTATCCCAAAGGATATGAAAGACTCTGATGACCCCCTTTGGAAGGCTTCACCCTCCCTTGGGAGCAGAAAGATTATGTGGTAGGTAGGGTTTTAGGTGGGGGGGTGGTAGGGGAGGAGAGGAGGGAGTGGGAACTGGTATTGACATGTAAAACAAACTTTTTTTCTAATTCAAATAAAAAATAATAGCAAAAAAAGAATAAGCCAAATAAAGATGAGAACAACAACACACACACACACACACACACACACACACACACACACACACACACACACAATGTATGGGGAGAAAGGCTCCATGGAGATTGAAAAGAAGTAAAAGAAACCTATTTTGGAAAATGCAAATTATATGATGGTAATATATAATCTAATTTTTATCATATTTTCAGAATATTTTACACACATTTATGTGTAGGGTGTAGGGTGGGTGTAGAAGTATACATTCACATTTCATATAGCAAATGTAGAAGTCAATTTGCAGAGTCAGTTCTCTCCATGTGTGTCCTGGAGATGAAATTCTGGTACTAGAGCATGGGGACAAGTACTTCAGTTGTCTTTACCAACCAAGCCATCTTATCAGCTCCCTTTTCCTTACTCTTTAAAATCATTTAGTTACATTTACTTCCTTATTGTTGGTGGGCTTGCTCTCTCTGTCTCTCACACATGTGCATGAGTGTGTGTGTGTGTGTGTACATGTATGTATGTGTCTATACAGGTGTGTATGTGTGTTCATGCATACCAGCATGATTGCTCCAATCTATTTGTATAGGGCAGAAGATGACATGTGGGAATTTGTTCTCTTCTCCCACCAATCTGGTCTCATGGCTCAAGCTCAGATTGTCAGTCTCAGAGTGTGCCTTTACCCACTGAGGCATCTTTCAAGCTTAGTAGTAATAATTTAATAAAATGGAGTGGATGTAATGAGTTCATCAAATTTATTAATTTGTATTACTTTCTTTCAAAGGCATTTTCTAAGTGCTAGCTAGGTATTCCAGGAAGGTTTTTATTGTTCTGTCTTTGATTTCGTTAAAAACTGAAGGCAAATCTGTTACTTAAAATGCATTGCTTCAGAAAATGCCCTGAATTTCATCCTCCCCTGAGCTCCTTATTCACAATGATATAGCAGCAAACTTCTCCTCAACCAGCAACTCATTTTTGTTTCAATTTATCTACGTGTTTTTCTTAAAATGGGCTTTTCACAAAACTCTCAACTTTAGCATAATTGATGAAGATGCTTGGGCTTTTCACAAAACTCTCAACTTTAGCATATTTGATGAAGATGCTGCTGTACTTGTATGGCAATCTGAATCAAGTGAGGTCTCTGGGCAAAGTTTACAAGTGATCCTTTCCTACCAGAAGAACGAAATGGCTCTGCATCACATAGTGTATCGAATATGTGTCACAAATCTTTAAAATGTAAGCACTTAGAAATTATTCTAGCTATTCTGATGCTCCTTAGCTTCTTTAGATAAAATGTGATCATCCACCTACAGTGTAGATTAAAATATCTGCATTCATGGTTAGTGATTCCATATTCTCCCCCTAGTAAATGGAAGAAAATGCACCAGTTACCTGATACTAAAATGTTGTATTTGATTTCACCAGGCTCACATAATGATAAATTCCTGTTAAAGGTTTTGAGCATTAAAATATTCCCATTGACCTTGCCCTGAGGGTCTTGGAGACTAGCCACTGTCCTTAGAGATGAAAAAGAGTTCTCTATTATGTTTTCTAATTCTGCCTACCTCTCTTCAAGGTAGATTTCTGTAGTATTTTAAATAAAAAATAGAGGGCCATGCATCTGAACACTTGGTCCCCAATTGGTGGCACTGCTTGGAGAGGTTATGAAATGGAAGCTTTGTTACTAGAGGAAACAAGCCACTGGGGTGAGCTTTAATGACATAGCTTAGACCTAATTCTTAACTCCTCTCTTTTCTTGTGAAAGGATGAACTCCTTGTGAATGCATCTATCTACTCCTGTGGCCATGTCATGCTTTCTCAGTTGTTATGGATGCTAGTCCTCTGGAATTTCAAACCAAAATACTCTTTCTTCTATACACTAATTTTTGTCATATTATTTCATCATGGCAATTCAAAAAAAACTTACCTACATGCTGGTAAAAGATTGGCAATGTTGCTGTAAATGGCCTGACGTTGCTCTTTCTTAAAGAATACTGAGGACCTTGGAAGTTTACTGATAAAAGCAGTTGGATGCCATAAGCAAGGTCTGGAAGTCTGGAAGACTTGACTCCTGAGATTGCAGAGAACAAAAATGTGATTGCCAACTGGGCTAGTGGCCATTCCTATGAGATATCAAAGAATACTACAGCTTCATTCTGCTTGTGTTCAAGAATTTGCTTTAGGTGAAATTTTTAAATAATGAACTAATTCCTTTGGTGAAGAAAATTTCATGGAAACATCAATGGATTCTGTGATTGGTTATTTCTGATTACTCCTATGCGGATCTATAAGGAAAAAGAGCAAATTGGTTAGAAAGAAACACAAAATGGGCATTTTGGTGAACAAAGAACACTAAGAAGCTTAAGGATGCCCACAAGGCATGTACTGAAAATGAGTCTATAACTATTAAGGAGATCAGCACCATTTAGTAAGAGCTTCCTGCTCTGCATCGAATGGATAAGAAAGGGAGCCTCAGGTAAAGACCCCATCCAGCTAATCTTCCAACTTGTGAATGAGAGGGCTTAAAATGTTTCTTACTCTTACACAGCAACAACATGAGGAAGGTGTTGCATATGTGATCTAACGGATCAAAGGGCCTTCTTAAGCAGACAGCCAAACTCATCAGAAACAAGAGATAGGAAAGGATATTGGTTGCTTAAACTCCATGGCTTCAGAGAGCCCCTGGTTCCCAGCAACGTGTGTCATGTTTGGAGTCCTGGCAGAGGACTAAAAAGACATTATATGAAGCTGTGAAGAAAAAGCTTGTGTTGAAGTAGAGGACCCCAGATGTTGGAGATGACAGAGTTATGAGACATCTACCAAGGAAAGTTGTACATAGGAAGTATAAACAGCTCCCCAAAATAAATGTATGTTTTAGGTAACAAAGCTGGAAGGGAGGAACCATTTACGTTCTCTCAAACTGAAACCCCTGATTTCAGATGTGGAACTATAGTGTTTGGTGTTTCCCCTGCAAGATTTTGTTCTTACTTTTGCCTAATCTTTCCTTATTATGTCCCTGTTCCTGGGAATGGGAATGTATATTCTGTATCATTATATGTTGGAACCATGTAATTATTTTTCTGATTTTATAGGTGGTCACAGGGATGCCTTTGAGTTTCAGAAGTGACTTTGGCAAAGGCCAAAGACTTAAAGACCATGGGGATTTCCAAAGTTAGACTAAATATATTTTGCATTATGAAATGGCCATGATCTTTTGGAATCTCAAGGTGACTTAAATGAGAATAATTCTCCATAGGCTTATGTTTTGGAATACTTGGTCCCCAGTTGGTGGTTGTTTGGGGAAACTGTGAAACATTTCAGACTTATAGCCTTCCTGAAGAAAATACATCATTGGGCATGGGCTTTATGGTTTCATAGTCTCTTCCCACTTCTGGCCTCTCTTCAGCTTTTTTGTAGATGAGATGTGGTGTGCCAGCTTTCTGATCTTGTGGTATGACATTTCTGCTTCCCTGCTATCTAGGCTAAACCCCTGGAACTGTAGCACCAAATAAACTCTTCTTTCAATTCTTTTTTGTTATGGTATTTCATCCCAGAAACAAGGTAGCTGATACAGTTTCTATGCCTTCCAAACAAAACTCAGCTGTGCTGTTGCCTGTGACTGTAGCTAGTGATCACATTCCCACTCACAATTGGTGCCAGAGACATAGAGAGGACAGAAGAGATTACTGCAGTTGTAATCCTACAGGGCTAGGGATTGCAGTCCCAGTCACAAATGGTTCTAGAGACATAGAGAAAACCTTAAGATATTACTGCAGCTTTCATTCAACAGGTCAAATAACTGAGAATGAATTCATATTTAGACACAAGGACCTATCAAGATTGAATAATAGAGAAATGGATGCTCCCTTTTCTCCTGTTCCTTTACATTGCCTATAGAATGACTTCTACCTTGTTTTCCTTGAAGGACTTGTGAATGTGTAACTGAATTGCTTTAACCTTGGTGGGGTCCTGGTATTGGGAAGCAGTTGTATTTTATTCAGTGTGAAAATGTATAATTGAAGTACTGTATGAACATTATTTGGAAACTAAAGAAATGGTTAACTTCTGGTATAGAAATATATGAAAAAATCTAAGACTTTTGGCAGAAAATTAAATTCCAGCAAATATTAAGTGTCCCTTTAAGAATTATGTAATTCAGTGGCTATCAATGACCAGCAGAACTCTCAAGGTGAATTTTTACTTTTTTATGGTGAGATTTGTAGAACTGTGGTGGTTTATGGTTTTAAATAAGAAAAGGCTTATGAAGTCTCCTGGATGGAAATAAAGTACCTTGAAGGTCATATGTAGTAAAGAAGAACTGAAGCACAGCTCTCCACTCTTGTGATTGCTAATATAGTAGCATGGTTGACCATGAAATCAGGTATGCTTTTGTCTTTCAAATCCCAGGTCACCCCAAACAATGGCTCATTGAAGTCAGTCATGATACAATTCTCTGTTTACCAGTTTCATGAGTACATTGCAATAGTGTTATTGGGTAACATGTAATTATCTTTAACTGTTTTCACTATGAAAATCAGAGATTTTCTCTATATGAAAACAACAATAAAGTGGATTGGCCTTTGAGATTTGGATGGGGCAAAGCACATGCCACTCTTGTTTGAAGATACTTTCTAACTGCTAGCTAGACATCATATTATGTAGATAATTGTGTTCCAGGATATAATTGTTGTTGCTATATTTTTCAAATGCATCAAGAGAAGGCAACAAATCATTATTTTCAATGGATTTCCAAGGGGGGGACAGTGTCTATATATGTATATTACAGTGTTTTTATTATTATCACTACAGATAGAGTGCCAAACTAATCCTAATATAGTATTTTCTTACTGACTTATTTGTATATTTTTCTAAGAGTGGATTTTCTAACAGATTACAACAGAAATATGAAAATTAACTCCAGGCTATGAGATGAATCCTGGGGAAGAAAGGGGATACAGAACCAGCTGA